TACGATATGTTACTGTAGACATTGAACTATTTTCTTCGTATTAAAATTTGTCGACGGCGATGACCTAGACTGGAGGTTAGAAAAACGTACGAATAACAAAAATATTTAATTTCAAATGTTGATTTCATAATTTTTTTGACAGAAGATGCTGGCGTCAGGTTAAAGGTCTCAGATTAAAACCCAATCATCTCCACTTCACACAGAGTGTTATTCAATTGAATAATCAATGTCGAGTCGGAAGAATTGTGTCACTCAAAAAATGAAACTATTTATGTATCATGGGATGCTTATGCACAGAATACCAACATTCAAAATGTATTTCTATATTAATTGTGTTTAACTTAAATTGTGGTTGCGTTCACTTATAAAATAAGGGCACATTACTTTAATCACTCAAATTTACTTGAATTATTCAACTCATATATCATCATATTCCAGGTCGAGTGCGTTCCCCTGCATACGAGAAAGCTTATTGTGCCACGGGAACGTCGATAATTAATTTTTATCGCTCGGAACTGTGCGTGAAACGCACTATTATGCGACCATTGGCGACATAACGGTAATTAAAATGAGTGAATCTGAAACTCACATTTCCCACTGAAAATGATGGAAAAAATATTACGATTGAAATACGGTGTTATAAAATACCAAAAATAAACGAAAAACACCATGAACAACACCATGATTAATACAACAAAACTCTATTTTAGATGCTTTGTATCGCTATAATTTGATTGATAACTTGGAAGCTATGTTATAGTTTATTCTTAAACGGTAAAAAACCGATGTTCACTCCCTAAATCATCATCATCATCATCGATGAGAAATAAAGTGATTCAAAAACCCACACATGCAGTATAGCTTTTGTTCAGTTTATTATGTTTGAACGATATTCGAAATGTGTTTTCAGTGTAATTCTAGAATAGTTTAGTATTCGAGCACGGACATAGCTATCATTGACATTTCCCTTCATTAAACCGATCGCTTTTTCTTGTACAAATGGTTCTTTTTTTAATATTATTATTATATATCATAAGCACTTCGCAATGGATGCATGTCGTGCAGAGCAAATAGTAATCACACATCCTATAATTGTAGATTAGTACCTTTATCCAAAGATTTCGATTGCAATTATGAATGAACCACAAGAGGGTTCCTCGTGTTCTTCTACAAGTGGTTACCATGGGGGCGATAAACTTCACAGAGGGTACCGGTAACTTTGGTCGGATGGTAAGTGAGGCGGAGTGAAAGTAGCTTGGTTCGTATTCAGAATTACGGTAACATACAGATTGGTATTCATAACACAATATTTACTCAATTGAAAATCGTAAAAATGCACATGTATTTGTACATAGGCTATGTTAAAGTACCGTATTGAGATAGGATGTATACTGGTATAAATATTGTACTATGGATACAGACAGGTAATTAAGAAAGGCAATAAATTATGGATCGTTGAATATTCTTTACAATGTGGACTATTTAGCCCACATTTACAGCATTGACATAATACAATAAAACTGTTCATTTGGTTCTTTGTTTATTCTGAATTTTTGATTGCGCAGAATAATTCCTTTCGTAGAAATGAAACATTTTGAAAAGTTTGTCTTTAGTCAGAATCGTAAAAGTATGCGCCAATCGTTACGATATGTTACTGCAGAAATTGATATACCATATGTCCCGGCGAATAAGTCGCTTTTCTAGACCCTGATTTTGGGCGGGTCGTCTTATTAGGCGAGTATGATCATTTTCATTTTTTGGTTTTGCTTTATTATTGAATCCGGACAATAAAATACCTTCGGCGATAGTATCTCCCACGTCCTCATCAGGTTAGTTTAAATAAATCGACATTCTCGCGCTGTGAATCTGGGATTTCAATGCTGTGATTATCATATTTGAAGTTTATGCATTTGTGTGGCTATCACCAATACACGTGGGATTGCAATTTGTGAAAATCGTCAATTGTTTTTGTCATAGTGATGTCTTACTTGAGCCATAAACATCTTTCATTTCAGCATTTATTTTCCCTGAGACAGAAATTTGCAGCGAGGACAACGATAATTACTTTATTGCTCTCAAGCAACCATGGCACTTGTGTGTTGTGAGATACGAGTTATCACATAATCATGTGTGACAAGATGCTAAGATAAATCAGGAGTGAATACATGACCCAAATTTTCTTGATTTAAAAGCGGCATTATAAAATACTAAAAATAAAACAGAAACACCTTTTAAGTTTTATTTTCGGATGGTCCGTGACAGATTAAAGATGATTTTTAGGCATCGCAAATCACAAAAACATGTTTTGTTCTACAAATATCGACAGGGCCAGACGCGACTATGCTACGTGTATAATACCGTAGTAATCTAAAGTATATTTAAATCATTTTTTTTTTGGCATAAATTTTACTAGGTGGGATATTATCGCTGACTTTAGATTTTTTCTTACCGTAACACCCTCAAAAACAACATATAATCCCAATTAAATCAATGAAGCAAAACCTTTCGTTTTTTGGAGATTTCAAAGTGATGATTATGTATGTTTCATACAAACACTTTATATGTATATTTATTCATAAAAACTAAATATAATCAGGTAGTTTATCTCACATTATTATGTCCGCAAATTGCTGTGTTAATATAGATCGGTAATGTTTTTGTATGGCGGACGCAATCGCGAGTTGAACACAATTAGATAGGAATTGTAAGACAGTTTGAATTCCCGTAGTTGTTATTGAATATTACGCTACAAGAAAAAGTCATTATAGGATAATTTAACCGATGCGCAAACGCGGCGACCACTAACGCATTGCATGGTAACTTGAGATTCCGATGTTGATGCGATTTCACTACCCCGACTTATTGGTCGGTTATATGCAAAAACTCATTTTTTTCAGGCTTAAAAACGGGCCTCCTCTTATTCGTCGGGAAATACGGTACTTTCTCAGTATCAAACTTTGTCGGTGTCGATGACGTAGCAGTTAGGGATAACAAAAATATTTAATTCGAAATGTTGATTTCATAATTTTATGGGATCAACTATGTTGGCGTAGCAAGTTAGAAATCCGAATTACCCGAAACATTACAGCTGTTAAAATAGTTGAAAATTATTTGTGATATACGTGGTATTGTCACGGCCTCTGTTTTTCAGTTTAAATAGTTTCAGATAGTGAAATTCATCGTTGCGGCGAATTCGTGTGTTTATCCGCTATCTTTTGATATATTTCTCGATGTATTTTGATTGCTTCTCTTTAGACGACAGGTTGTGTGCTCATTGTGAAGGTTCAATTGCGCACAAAAATCCCTATTAAACTAATGCAATGCTTTGTGAATTTCTGACAGTCAGAATTTTATAAATAAGTGTGAGGTTATCGCTACGCTACGTAACTATAAAATCGCTATGGATGGGCGTAGTTTGGGTTTTATATTGTTTTTACGTAACTAAGATACCTGTGACGAAAATTTTGTAAAAACCACACTGAAGATTTTTATAGGACACTTATTTAAACCTTTCTCTCCGAACAAAGCCATGTACAAGCAGCCAATGATATCTAATGATTCTCAAAGATCACTATTTTAGGAAGAAACGGGATTCGGCCCAATTCGGTTTAGCCTGCGCATTTATCACCATGTTTGAGATGTTAGAAATTGGATTTAAGCCAGAGATGTGTAACCTGCGTTGGCAACACAGTTGAGTCCCAACACTTTAACTGCTATTCCATCGCGCTTACTTACAATCAAGGGCGGACACCTTGCAGAGTCCGAGTATAATTTGATAGTAATGATCATCGACTTTACTACATCGTAACGTTTATTTTTGCGAAAGACATCGAAACACTGATTAAAATAAGATTTCCCAATCACAGAAACGACCTAAAATACAACCGTTTTAGTGCTCAAGATGTAAAATGTTCGCCGACACCACCACGCATTTTATTGAATGCAATTTACTAAATTTAATAAATGTCCTATTAAGTTGCATCAAGTGCTACAAAGACCATGCGTTTCACCCGAATACCGGCGTATTTAAAGATCGCTATGGTGGGAAAAAACAAATATTTTATCAACCCAAATAATTCAAATATTTCTATCGATTACCGAATATTTTAAATATATAACAGGAGTCCATAACGTTAGCCATCCTAATGTTTGTAAGCTAGCTTTCCGTCCGTTTTCTTTTTCTTACACAAGTACTAATTCTTACGCAACGGCGGATGTCGAAGTTTGGTTTTTATATTTCTGGCAGAATAGGAGTCAACATCGGTGACGTATGTTTAAGACAATTATTATGAAGGGAATTCAGAACTCAACTACTTTTATTCTGATTTTTATGTTTTGCGTTTGTTGGATCTTTATTATCAGCGTTTGTTAAATAACCGTCCGAATTTTAAAAAGGTTAACAATATTATCTTCACTGGCTCAGGAATGCGGATATTCATGAAGACGATAGTTTACTTTTTTTTATCTTGTCTGTGTTATTTTTGCATCGAATAAAAACTATGCAAAGTCGGCATCGCGTGAATTGTGAATGCTATTTTGAGTCAAAATGCCGGCCAGAATAATATTTCTACCCCTAAATTTAGCGAAAAATGCATAGAATATGTTATTTTCTTCTTTGATAATCCTCTGTCTAGGAAACGGCGTCGGCGCGCTTGATGCAAAATTAATACTGAAACAATGGCCAAATAGAACTCCTCAAATTTGACGTTTCTGTACGCCAGCAAGAGCAGTAGGTTATTCTGTCGAAATTCAAGGGGAAGTTTCCAAGCAAAGGGGTATAGGTCCCGTGATACCGGATATTTGAATAGTAAAATTGTAAGAGAATGACAGAAGAATATTGTGACGTAACAATGTATCAACACGACACCATGATTCTTGGTTGACAATGCAAGTTCAGCCCCCAAATATGGGAAGAGTCCGCCCCTGCCTACAAATGGTGAATAAAAAAGGTTCACCAGTATAAGACGAAAATAAATAATCGAGGTCAATCTCAATTTCACCTTGGCACCACGAGTATTGTTTTTGAATCCTTCCATTGCTTCAGCTGTCAGTTTGCAATATCCCATGTTAACATCTTCCAATTCACATTGTAAAACGACAGATGCGGCCTGAGAAACACCTTCCACTCCCAAGGATCTGTTTCCCCAGACGTCAAGTTTCTTCAACTGAATATAAATAGGTTTGGAAAATTATAAACGGTTTTGCAGCGATTATAAGGTAGTTGATAGAATATATGTTTCGGAAAAAGATAATATCTCAATTTTATAAATTGATTTAAATAAACAATTCGAATGGCAATCATCCTGGTTTTTGTTCTAAGTAAGTAAGCGCAATCCTAAAATCGAAATGTCACGGGGTTAAATAAATCGTTCTTATGTTGAGTGGGAAACTGTTCAACAAAAATCATTCCAAAATAATACAATTGTCAAAATGAAGTTTTTATTTGCGATATTCATGACATTATATCGGTCTCATGTATTTTGCTTTGACATCTTCAATCTGTAATCGTAAAATATGTCATCTTCTTAGAAATAAGAAGTCAAATGCATATCAGTTGTTGCTGGATAAGAGCCTTGGTTTGGAAATTTTTTATGACGTTAAAAGTCGTAAATGAACGTTTGGTGTGAAAATGTTGATAATTTCTTGAAGTCAGGGGTGCTGTGGTTCTGTTTGATCATGATACGACAAGAAAAATTATGATCGAAAAAAATAAATCGATTATTCGTCTAATCATATTGCCGATAGTTATAGCTCTCACAAGCAAAGCAACCCAGCTTTAAAAAATCACGCGAGTTTTACAAATCGGGTTCAAATCCCACGCCCACCATCTCACCTAAGGTGTGACAAATTGGGTAGAGTTTGTCTTTAGTCAGAAACGTATAAATATGCGCCAATCGTTACGATATGTTACCTTAGAAAAATATTATATGTGCGTCCTTTAGTGTCACCTCGCGCGAAATAGAACTCCAGCAAAACGCTTTTAAAAAGGCATGAGGTCGTTTTAGGGGTTAAATGGTTGACGATATTCAAAAAGAGACCATACGAAATGGCCCCAGGATAATAGGCTAGACAGGGTTTTAACCATCACAAGTTTCACAAATCGAGTTCAAAATCCCATGACCACCACCTCACCAAGGGTGTAACGAATTGGGTAGATTCTTGTTTTTCGAAAAATAGTATCTTCTTATAAAAATAGTATCTTCTTACTGTTGGATGTCAGTGGCCGCTTGTACAGAGCCTTATTAGAAGCAAAAGACACGAGTATGCGTCATATAAAAAACAACTGAGGCACTATAAAATATTTTACCGTAGCCAGGGTGATATGAATATGCTAGTGGTTATCATGCTACTGCTGATAAAAATATAAAGGCATGACAATTATTAAAATGAAGTTACCTTTCAAAATTTGCGATAATCGTGATATTGCCGCGACCTCTAGTATTTTGCGTTGGTATTTTTTGAAGTCACTGTTGCAAATAAATTACGATATTTTTTTTATCTCATGAATATATATTTAAAACTTAGTGACCAGGGATGTTCTTATCGTTTTCGTATAGCATTATATTCGATGTAGCATTATGTGAGTATTCCTCAATTTTGGTTAATCGTAATTTTTGAAGGGCGCATAACATGGGAAGACGCAAATATTTCTGTTCCCCTGCGTAGTTCGAAATCGGTATTTCACATGCAACAGCTTCTGAAACAGGCGTCGCGATCACGCCATTGCCGACATTTGAGTAATGCCAACATTCAAAATGTATTTCTATAATTATGTTTATCTTAAGTCGTGGTTGAGTCCACTTATAAAATAAGGGCACATTACTTCAATTACTCAATTATACTTCAATTATTCATCTCATATATCATCATATTCCAGGTCGAGTGCGGTACCCTGCATACGAAAAAACTTGTACCACGGCCCGCGGGAACGTCAATAATTAATTTTTATCGCTCGGAACTGTGCGTGAAAACGCACTATTATGCGATCATTGGCGACGTAAACGACCTAAAATACAACCGTTTTAGTGCTCAAGATGTAAAATGTTCGCCGACTCCACCACGCATTTTATTGAGGGCGATTTACTAAATTTAATAAAGGTCCTATTAAGTTGCATCAAGTGCTACAACGACCATGCATTTCACCGCAATACCGGAGTGATAAAAGATCGCTAGACTGGGAAACTGAAATATTTTTATCAACCCGAATAATTCAAATATTTCTATCGATTACCGAATTTTACAAATATATAACAGGAGTCCATAACGTTAGCCATCCTAATATTTGTAACCTACCTCTTTGCCCATTTTCTTTTTCTTACACAAGTACCAATTCTTACGCAAGGGCGGATGTCAAAGTTTGGTTTTCATATTTCTGGCAGAATAAGCGTCCACATCGGTGACGTATGTTGAAGACAGTTATCAGGGAGGCAATTCAGGACTCAACTACTTTTATTTTTTCTGATTTTAATGTTTTGCGTTCGTTGGATCTTTAGTATCAGCGTTTGTGAACTAACCGTCCGAATTTTAAAAAGGTTAACAATATTATCTTCACTGGCTCAGGAATGCGGATATTCATGAAGACGATAGTTTACTTTTTTTTTATCTTGCCTGTGTTATTTTTGCATCGAATAAAAACTATGCAAAGTGGGCATCGCGTGAATCCTGAATGCTATTTTGAGTCAAAATGCCGACCAAAATAATATTTCTATTCCTAAATTTAGCGAAAAATGCGTAGAATATCTCATTATCTTCTTTGACATTTTTCAGTCTAGGAAACAGCGTCGGCGCGCTCGATGAAAAATTAATATTGAAACGATGGCCAAATAAGACTTCTCAAATTTGACGTTCCTGTACGCCAGCAAGAGCAGTAGGTAATTCTGTCGGAATTCAAGGGCTCGTTTCCAAGCAAAGGGGTATAGGTCCCGTGGTACCGGATATTTGAATAGTAAAATTGTAAGAGAATGATTGAAAAGAATATTGTGACGTAACAATGTATCAACACGACACCATCATTCATGGTTGACAATGCAAGTTCGGCCCCCAAATTATAGGGAGTGTCCGCCCCTGCTTACAATTGGTGAATAAAAAAGGACATATGACTCTTTTCTGTATTGAGGTATTGATGAAAACGTGTTTTTTTTGATTGTCAGGAATGTATTATATGTTTCCAGTAATTTATGTGTCTGGAGGACCTAAAATAATAAGAAAGTTACATACAATTTCATACTTTTCAAGTATTCGATTCGAAAAAAATATTCGATTCGATTCTGAAATCATCAGGTATTCGAAAATGCCCAGCCCTAATCATGATACGACTAGAAAAATTATGGTCGAAAAAAACAAATTGATTATTCATCTAATCATATCGCCGATAGTTTTAGCTCTCACAAGCAAAGCAACCCAGCTTTACAAAATCACGCGAGTTTTACAAATCGGGTTCAAATCCCACGCCCACCATCTCACCTAAGGTGTGACGAATTGGGTAGAGTTTGTCTTTAGTCAGAAACGTATAAATATGCGCCAATCGTTACGTTATGTTACCTTAGAAATTGATAGACTTTCCTAGTATTAAAATTTGTCGGCATCGATGACCTAGCGATTAGAGCAGTGATTCGCAAACTTTTTTTGCTTGCGGCGCACTGAGCAAATAAAAAAAAAAATGCGGCACACTTGTACAAATATTGCTTTTATACGATGCTTATTTGAACCTTCCGCTCCGAACGTTGTGTGATAAGCAGCCACTGATATCTAACGATGTGTGAATTTCAATACGCTTAAGTCCTAGGATGCAACGGAATCTTTACAATTCGGCTTTGTCTGCGCATTTTTTTACCCTGGGTGAGATGATAAAAGATTTAAAAAAGAGATGTGTAATGGCAACACAGTTGAGTTCAACACTCTAACTTAGGGGTCGCAAACCCACGGCCCGCGGAGTAAAATAATCCGGCGATGATTCAAATTTGGCGGTTGCGGATTTTAATCATAATTTTATTTTTTCTACGTTCAAGGATCAGAATATTGGAAACTGAGTGACTTATAAATGGTTTTGTTATATTTTTTTTCATGTAATACGAGAGTTTCAAAATGATATTTCCTCCTGATTCGCTGACTTTCTTTCTCTTGAAAATGAGTTTAGTCTGTTTAGTACTCCGTTTGATGCTAAGGTGGAAACGGTTACCGAAAATATTTAAATAGAGTTTCTTAAGATCCAATGCAATGAGGAAATAAAATCTACTTTCTATTCGAGAGATGTGTGAATGTTTGATTTGTATAAAAAGTATCTTTTTGAAGGAATCTCTATCCAAATTTGACAAACCATGCGAAAAAATCTAAATCGATGTTTAGAAGTACATATGCGTGGGAATAATTATTTTGAAAATTAACATTACAAATAACAAGCACAGAACTATTAGTGATGCCAATTTAAAAAATGTTCTAATCTAGGCTTCATCAAAAGTGTCACCTGATGTCAAAATTTATCGAGCGTAATGCAACAAGAAGTGTCACATTAAATTTCATTTTTGTCCTAGTAAGACGACTTGAGTCTTGTACTGTTCGCTCGCTAAGTATAAAGTTTCAAACTATGATCTTAGTAAAAAATGTGATTTATCAGACACCCGTTCGATTTTTAAATTTTCTTGGAAAAATATGTTCGGCCCGCCAAGAATTGCAACCTTCAATGGTCTGTGGTAAACACAAGCAATGAAACGCTATAGCATCGCCAGAAACTGTCCAAAGTATAAATAGCATCGATTTGAAAATGTTGATTCAGACCTCTGAAAAGCTGGTATGAATAACTTGTAACCCAGATAGGAATGGCGGCAGATAACACCGTTATAATGACCCTGTATTGGCTTAGCAGGTAATTTTAGTGATCCATTTCATTCATGTTTTCAGAAAAAGATTTTTTTGTACCACGCATTGTGGATGGGTGATAAAATTGCAAATAAGAATAGAACACAAAACCATTCGCGAATGTCGCTGTGTGGGGTTATTTACAATTTGATGTGCCAATTGCAGTCGACAATTATTACATTCGCTGCTGTTCGAAGCTTTTATGCAGTAGTATTTAAGGAGTGACGTCATCAAATCTAGTCGAGTGAAGTGTTGATTTTGCAAATTCCTCATATACAATTGTGAATTTCTCGGTAACTATTTTAGCTAT